CTGTGTTATATTTGGGGTAGGCCAGTCCAGGCCGGTACCTCTGTCGGTACCAGCCAGTCCAGTCCAGTCCCATCAGTCCGCTGGGGTATACCCCAGCCATTGTCAATTTTCATTCTCATTCCTCACCTGCACATTTTGGAGTACGTGCGTTGGAGTCTTGCGTGGGGAGCTGCGTTGTGCCATCTTGCTCCCCCTTCTTCCTCCATCTCCATCTTCGTCACTAGCGGAGCACCACGCCTGGTGGGTCCGCTACATCCTTGCTCCGGGTCTAAAGTTCCTCCCTGAGTTTGAGACCAGGTTGCTTTTGTAAATAAGGTGGAGGTGACCCAAGGTTCTTACCGATCCTTTAATTGGGTTTGAGCGCAGAATGCCTGAGAGTACTACGATTCTAAGTGATTTAATGAGATTTTCCCTCCCTTTTTTTTTTGTCTTTTTTTTTTTTTTTTTTTTAGGGGCCAAGGCCCCTTCCCTAAATAAAATAGTCCGGTGGCCGGGGCCGCCAGTGTGGGCCCTAGGCCTGAATCAGACCAGGAGTTTTTCGTGCGGTGAGCCGCGAACCGTCGATGAAGATAGTCCAGTGTCTCGTTGGCGGATCGATGAACAGAGCGGCGCCGCCGTCGCGATCGACAGCCAAGCAGAAGGCAAAAGGCCTGGCATCGAACGGGTCGAGGCTATAAGACCCGAAATAAATGAGCCTCGGAATTCCTCTGCAATGCTAAGGCAGGTTGCCAAATTGCCAATCAGTCCTTATGCTGTCGATATGGCCCGATGTAGGCCACCCCTATTCAGGGATAGGTCCGGATGGACCCCTGCGGTGAATGAGGGCTCGATAGGCCCTTCAGAAGGATGGCCCAGCCATATGCCTGTTTCTGTACGCCAGATAATTGCTGGTAGGCCCTTCAGAAGGATGGCCCTGCGGTGAATGAGGGCTCGATAGGCCCTTCAGAAGGATGGCCCAGCACAAAATGGCCCTTTGGCTCTAGCGGGCCCAAGCGAGCTAATGCCTGAAGGTCCTCTGGTAATTCCTCACCCAGAGGGCTTCGGAGGCCCCCAGCAGATGGAAAATGAGGCAACGGAGTGTAATGATTGTGCTGCCAAACCCGAGTAAGTACAGAAACTGACGCTCCTTCTTCCCAGGAATGACAACGACAGTTACGGCGGTAGGCCGGAACCTCAAAGTCAACCAGCAAATCACGGGAGAGTATCTATGCCTTCTATCTGTCTGTGTGTGTGTGTGTGTGTGTCAGAGAGAGCGATCGAGCAAGAGTGTGTTTGTGTGTGCTCGTGCGTGGGTGTGTCAGAGAGAGATATCGAGCAAGAGTGTGTTTGTGTGCGCGTGTGCATGGGTTTGACAGAGAGTGTGCGGACAAGTCTGTGTGTGTGTGCCCTGGGTATGTGGGTCGACCCTAAGCATTGATCCATTGATTTTTTTTTATTTTTTTTTTTGCTGTATTTCAGAGATCGGTCCTCCCTCTCC